TATAAGGGTGATTTGAGCTGTTATGTATGACTGTGTCCGTGTGTGAAAGTTTATGATATATTGATATATTGATATATTATGATATATTGAAAAATCTAAATCTAATCCTGTTCAATCTCGATAGTGAATTTTATACGATTATGTATTGAGTTAATGTAATTTAAAATAGAATTCAATTGTCTGTCCGTTCCAACAAAGCAAGCAAAGACATCGTCCACATATCTATATCACCATAAAAAACTTTTACTTAAAGGATATTCTAGTATGATATTTTCCAAATTATCCATAAAAATCTCGGCTAACAAAGGACTAAGTGGGTTTCCCATAATCAAACCTTCTTTAGAGATATAAATCTGCCCATTAAATTCAAAATAATTTTGGTCTAAAGATACTATTAAGCAATCTAATACATCTTGTTTCACCAATGGGTTAACCTGTTTCCGAGTTAGGGTAAAATCTACTAAATCTATCACATCCATAGGTGGAATGCTGGGAAATAAGTTTTGTACATCAAAAGACAATAGTGTTGCGTTAGAAGGGATTTTGATATCATTAATTTTGTTGATTAATTCAAAAGAATATTTTATTGCAAATTTTGGTTTAAAATCTGTGTGAAACTTTAAAAATATTTACTAATTTTGTAGAGAGTTTAACTGCTGGAGCTGTTACATAAGACACCACTGGTCTTGTTTATGTAATTTAACTAAAGAATATAATTTAGGCGGTTGTGGAATCATAATTGTTAAAAAAATATTTGTCTTTGTCACTAAATTGTGTGGAGTTAGTAATTACATCCTTTACTTGTCTTTGATATAACTCAGTAGGATCGTGTTTGATACATTGGAAAAGTTCTGGTTTAAGAAAATTGTTGGTTTTTGAAATATATTCTGGGAGATCGATAGCTATGACTGTCTTCCCTTTATCTGCACGTGTAAATATTATGTTATTTACTCTTACTTCTATATACAAAACAATATAAATCCTATTATAGTTAATCTTAATGACGACTCTGTTACTAAAACAGGAGTTAATTTAGATATTCGGAATAAAAATGTAATTATGTCTAGATATTCCTAGCTATAAATTTATTGTAAATATTCATTGTCATTGTTTTTTCTGATGAAGGTTGAGGCAGACTATACTTGAATGAACATTAAATATACCAATTTATATATATATATATATATATATATATATATATATATATATATATATATATATATATATATATATATATATATATATATATATATATATATATATATATATATATATATATCTATATATATATCTATATATATATATATATATATATATATATATATATATATATATATATATATATATATATATATATATATATATAGTGTTCGAAGTGTTTTCGGAGCGCGAGCATTGAAGATGCCAAGTGAGATTTTGGCGAAACGTCTGCAGGATTCCAGTCGGATGCAGGATTTGCAGGATTCCAGTCGGATGCAGGATTCCAGTCGGAGTTCAACGAGCGAACGGATGATATCCCGGAATATAGTGTCATCATATATATATATATATATATTTACTCTTACTTCTATATACAAAACAATATAAATCCTATTATAGTTAATCTTAATGACGACTCTGTTACTAAAACAGGAGTTAATTTAGATATTCGGAATAAAAATGTAATTATGTCTAGATATTCCTAGCTATAAATTTATTGTAAATATTCATTGTCATTGTTTTTTCTGATGAAGGTTGAGGCAGACTATACTTGAATGAACATTAAATATACCAATTTATATATATATATATATATATATATATATATATATATATATATATATATATATATATATATATATATATATATATATATATATATATATATATATATATATATATATATATATATATATATATATATATATATATATATATATATATATATATATATATATATATATATATATATATATATATATATATATATATATATATATATATATATATATATATATATATATATATATATATATATATATATATATATATATATATATATATATATATATATATATATATAGTGTTCGAAGTGTTTTCGGAGCGCGAGCATTGAAGATGCCAAGTGAGATTTTGGCGAAACGTCTGCAGGATTCCAGTCGGATGCAGGATTTGCAGGATTCCAGTCGGATGCAGGATTCCAGTCGGAGTTCAACGAGCGAACGGATGATATCCCGGAATATAGTGTCATCATATATATATATATATATATATATATATATATATATATATATATATATATATATATATATATATATATATATATATATATATATACCTTTATGACAATACAGTGTATAACAAAAGATCACGGTTCAAAGAAAAATTAAATATAAACAAAAGAAAAAGAAAGTAAGTAATTATAAAAATAATTCTGTTATTAATTACAAGACGAAAGAACCCGATCAGCACTTTGTTTATCTAATAATAAGCCGTTAATGTTATTCCGAAACAGCTTTAAAGTTGATAAAGCAAAGAAGTGTCTATGCAGATTAAGAGTTTAAATATAAAGCAATTTTAAAACTTAAAAATGTATGGTCGAAAAAATGATATTATTACATATTTATGAAGCAAATGTATGTTTGCGCAAAAAGCTAAAATATAAAAGTGGAAATTATGCGAAGTGTCTCCGATCAGGTAAAGCAAAAATTTCGAATTTCGTAGATACTTTACGGGAAATTTTTGCACCGCATATCAGATAACAACCGCTTCGTAAATCGGTGCTTCACTTTCCCTCGGCGCATCCGCCGAAACTCCCGCAACAAATCTAGATCATTACTTAACCACTTTGGAAAAATAGCCGTCTAAGCTCGGTATCGATTATAGATTTATCATCGTCATTATTTTTAACGTCGGCTCCTTAGGATAGGTCGTTAAGGGTCGGCCAAAACAATCCCTAATGACCAGGAGGAAGTTCTTCGTTTGCGAAAAGACGTATCGGCAACGTTTCCTTCGCGTTTTAAGTGTTCATCATTGATAACTTTGTTATGAGTAGAGATACAAAGTCGGTTAAATTAGCAAACCGGTAGCATTTTTGGCACTGATTACGACGGTAAAACAATTGAATATGGGGTTTAGGAAAAAATGAAGAAAGGGAACTCTTTTTAAATGGAACACTCAGCCTATTTTTTTACTATAACGTTAGTAAATCACCAACAAAACAAAAAAGGTCATACACAATATTAACTCAAAATTATCAGCACATTTCTCCTTTAGACTAGATTTTTATTATTTATTGCAATATTGCAATTTTTGTTCTGTCAATACGAACGTTAGAGTAAAAACATACATTTAAAAAGAGTACATTTCCCTCATTTTTTTCTAAACCCCAATTGTTTTTTTTTATTCAACCTCATAACAAAGTTACCAACGTAATCTAGATCAGCCTGTACACACGCGATATTGAATTCGGCCGGAGTTACCGGAACTCTTCGGAAGTTACCTCGCGGGCAAAGCCGTCGGGGGATCGGGCGACGTCGTAACTTGGAGTTTAGATCGAGTTGAAACGCAATTTGATTGCCATTAAACGTGTTACTGTATAGAACTTGAAGTTGTGGCTTCTAGTTTTAGGTTATGTTTCCGATTCCGGTTCAATGCGGTTCTCCCTTTTGGACGTAGATGGCGTTGCTCAGAAAAATGGGCAAGCGTTAGATTTAAACTAACTAAAAGCAGTATCCGCCATTAATATGTGTGACTTCTTCAACTTTGCATTATCAATATACTCTTCCGGATACCTTGAGTCCAATTCAGTTGGAACACACCCGAATGTACTTGAACACTCCCGAACATACCCGAACACACCCGAAAATTCAAAATTTTCAGACGCCAACCCGAACATTCACGAAAATTTTTCCCGCCAAAAGTGGCTTAGAACCGGCATTACTATACTACTAACGTTCGTTATGATAAAGATATAAGTGCTAGATTAGAGCTTGTTGGATATATCGCTTTCTATTTGAAAGAAATCGCTCACCGTTAGCAGCACATCTGAGTCCTCAAACTTTCTAGTTTACAGAGTAGAACTACCAAATTTTTGTAGGTGTTACTTTCGCTGCTAGCTGAACAAAATCGCCATCAATCCGATCCGCATCTGCTTGGAGGAAAGAAACGACAGTCTATTATTAAATCTCCCGTAACAACTGCGTATCCGAGAGTACAGGAAATCCATTAAACTAGTGCGCTGCTGCGGCGTCGCTCCTATCGTTATTTCACTCGAGTTACTAGAGGAACAAACTTATTTTATCCAATATCGCTCATTTCTGGTTCAAATGTCTGGAAACTGGCTCCGATATCGAGAAAGATACCGGGCGTTTCAACGAGGACAATGATATTAATACAAACACTGTTTTAAAGCAGAGACAGATTCAAATCTTTTTTGTTAGATACTTTTACAAGCTGCTGTCATACTATTTACAAATTTTCGGGGTTCCTCCAGATTGTTCACAAATGGGAATTGCATTTTCGACACTACCGAGTACTACATTTTGATGTTTTTAGTAAATTTAATCTTTTCTTGGAGAAAAAAAAATCTTATATTTCTTTAATAATAATGAAGTGTTTTGGTTTTGTAACAAAAAGTTCAATTATCTCACAAATTTGTTTTCACCTGCTTCGACAAAGTCGAACATTCAAATGGATAATTCGTTCTTATGTTCTTCGAACGCACTTTAGACCTTTGAACCAAGTTATTTGTTAATTGTGTGTTTGTCATTTTTGTCATTTCACATGGACAAGGCCCATAAATAAAATCGCATTAAATGTATTTTGAATGCACCAAGCTGTCTTTCGAGTTCGGAACTTAAAACTACTATTAAAAATGAGTTTTAAAGGAACTGAAGACTTTTTAAGTGGGATTGGGAGTAACCCACATCCCAATGTAACAATAGCATTTCCTTCAGAGACATTTTTGCTTCTTTGATTTGGTGTTCACGGAATTTGACATTTTGGTTTCCCTTTTTCAGTTTTACCAGCTGATCAACAAACTACACGTTTTGGGATACTCGATATCGCTGGGAGCCCTGCTGATCTCCCTGTATATATTCCTGGCGTTCAGGTAAGTCTTTTAAAACAGAAGTCCCCGCAAAATGAGGTCGTGAATGTTTAAAATATAAAACTAAACGTCGGTGGTTGTTGAGTCTAACTTTTTAATCATCCTGTTGGCTTCTTCAGAACTTGACCGAAACTGGCTCGCATTTTACTCTGTACCTGCTTATATATTGTGTGAGGGCGGCGAAGCTAAATGAGGGACATAAACACCGTCTCGGATGACTGATTCCCGTATTGATGACAGGTTAATATTATTAGGTTGCTTATAGATTCCTATACACTCCCGGATTTTTCGTTGGTAGAGGAATTGGTTACATGCGGTTATATGCGGCAAAGAATACATTGGATAGACCGGACGTAAAGTATTAACTAGGCTCGAACAACACGAAATGGGCTTAAGGCTAAGACAATAAGCAACCAAACAATCTTAACAGCGACTCAGGTCTCCAATATGGGGATCAGTCATCCAAGACGGAGTTTATGTCCCTCATTTAGCTCCGCCCCCTCAAACAATATAAAAGCAGGTACGGAGTAAAATGTGAGCCAGTTTCAGTCAAGCTCTGAAGAAGCCAACAGGATTATTGGCCAAACGTCAGCAAGTTCGACTCATCAAAAGCGAAGCAGGAAGAATCCAGGAGTTTTGTAAAAAGTATTACAGTAGCCCATGAAAGTTTCTTTGAAAAATTAAAACTACGGAGTTTTGATTTTTTGAGGCTTTTTTGACATATGTTATTAAAAGTGTTATTAAATATCGTTGCAACAAACACAATATTAACTCTCGCGAGTATCGAAAATTATTAATATTTTACGAAAAAAAAAAAATTTTTTTTATTAGTGGGGCCCGGTTTGATACAAACGACTATTTCTTATTCCGACTTCCGAATGAAAAAACGACCAGGAACCTTAATTTTGAGAAGCTTCGCTTCTTGTTGATACAAAACCGAAATTTACGACGTCGGGCTGTGTTTACGAGGCTCGGAAAAACGCGAGTTTTCCTGGCGGCGCGTTCCCGCTATAAATTGCCCGTCACATTTGTATTTTTATAGAGAATATATTGCCGAAAAGAAAAACAAGACGCTATAAACTTTCAACGGTCGATTTGGACGATACGAAAGCTGTCAGGCAATCGACATTTTTTTTTAGTTGATTTTGATCTGACATTTGATTGTGTATAATTTAGGCCTGCTGATGAGCAATTTCTTCTATTTCGTAGGTTTTTTTTTATCAACATTAAACTGCTGATAAGCATTTTCTTCTATCACGTAAGGTTTTTTATCAACATTAAGCTGCTGATAATCATTTTCTTCTATCGCGTAGGTTTTTTTATCAACATTGAGCTGCCAATAAGCATTTTCTTCTATCGCGTAGGGTTTTTTTATATCAACATTAAGCTGCTGATAATCATTTTCTTCTATTGCTTAGGGTTTTTTTTTATCAACATTACAAAAGTTAATAATTGAAAATCCCTTTATTTTTTGGAGATCTCTCCCTTTGACGTTGATATCTGCCTTCCGTTACCTTTATATTTTGTTGGAACATTTCAATTTACTCTTCACTTACGGCACCAAGATTGTCGGGAAACTAGTCCAGGGGTGAGTGTGAACGTTCGTTAATCACCGACAGAACAATGAGGTTGTGAATGTTAAAAAACTAATACTATGAATTTGTTTTTACAAAACTTCTGGATTCCTCCTGAGTCGGTTTTTGTTGAGTCGAACTTGCTGATGTTTCGCCAATCACCCTGTTGGTTTCTTCAGAGCTTGACTGAATCTGGCTCGCGTTTTACTCCCATATTGGTGACAGGTAAACACCTGAGTCGCGGTTAAGATTGTTAGGTTGTTTATGGATTTCTATAGACTATAGACTATAGAAGAATTGATTACATGCAACTAATTTTTTAATTTCTAGTTTTCTAGTTGGCAGGGCTGTCATTAATTTGCACAGCCTTCTACGAATATTTCTTTCAGCGCCAATATGAGTCTTTGTAAACAAGGAAGCTGTTTTTGCCGAAAGAAGGAGACGAAAAAGTTTCATAATAAAAGAAGAAGGAAAATAGAGTTTTATTTCGCGAACACTAATAGTCATCTAATCTAAAAGAGAAATGTGGCAATAATTCACTTATCCAACTAATACAAATTTAAATTAATTTTGCAAGAGACAAACAGATAACGCAAATACTTCTTAAATAAACTTCTCAAGTTGAATAATTTAAATAATAAACAAAAACAAATTAGTATTAAAATATATAAAATTATGACGTAATATAGTAATTAAATAAAATGTTTAATAATAATTCATTTGCATTTCATGGCCTTCCTTGGTTTCAGAGTACTAAGATGCACTAGAATCAAGATCCACATTCAACTGTTTATATCGTTTATATTGAACAACATCATGTGGATCGTCTGGTACAAGCATATCGTTCCTGAAGTGGACGTTACGATCAATAATTCGGTAAGTTTTTCGAAATGTTGGTTGGTTTTTGATCGCCTTAAAAAGTTCCGTTTTCTTTTTTAACAGCAGTTTTAATCTTCTCCTGAAACGCGTTATTGTGTGTTAGTACAGTGCCGAAGGTTCCAGTCAAGAGTTTGATATTAGGGGATCAATTGAATGTCCTGCAAGACCTCCAGATATTAATCAAATCAAAAGCACATAGAGAAAAACCACAAAATTTATATCATTTAAAATTTAGAAACGAAATAAGACAAGATAATGATAGAAGAAGAAGAAGATAGAAATTAGCCAGAACATGAAAAACCCTTATGCAGTTGTAGAATTAGATTAGTTTTCGGCAAACGTTTGGGCTGGAATTGTTTTAAGTTACTTAATCTGGTTCCTTTTTCGGTAAGAAAATCTAAATGGCCGGTTTATAGAAGACACTTTGCCGATATTATAGAAGTACCATATTTAATTAGGAACAGAATGTGGTCATATTAACGATATTTTCATGGCCATGCAGACAAGAGGTTCTCATTTTTTTCAATCAAAAAAGCTAAATTCATTTAGAAATGTTCGGAGATTGTAAGAATAGTTTTTTTCTAATTTTAATTATTGACTTTAAATTAAGAAGCACCCTGTATAGGAGCGTTCACACGTGTAATCGAGTTGCCATATTCGAAGCCTTACCGACCGCTGTTTGCTGTCCAACTCGACTCTTAAATCGTTTAATTTACTTGCAATTTATTCCTGCTGGCCGGAACTTTACGTTGCCCGTACGCAATTGCGGTGGCGATCTATCGGGAATCGAACGCCGTTCATCACGGACGTCTAATAAAACGACCACTAATGTCAAAATGTTATTTTCGTGTAGTCGCGCTCAGATGAAATATGTAATACTTTTGAAGCCCGTAAATGTTTACGGGCTTTTAAGATAAACTGTATTAATAGAAACATCTTTCGAATCTCTAACGCGGTTTAAATATGTGTTGCCGAGTTACTTAGATCACTCGTAATAGCATGCGAGCAATGTGTAAGTGTAGGCTACGCGAAATACACCTGCGCACGGTTGTTTATATATATATATATATATATATATATATATATATATATATATATATATATATATATATAAACAAAGTAATTAGTCCAATCTCGATACCCAACCGCGAGAAAGGGAAACCTGATATCGTGTTTCTCCTCAGATTTGGTGTCAAATCTTCCACGTGCTTAAGGAATACATTATGGTTTCCAATTACATGTGGATGTTTTGCGAAGCTCTGCACCTACATCTGGCGCTTGCTGTCGTATTCGTAAGGGAAGAGCGCACCATGAAATGGTTCTACGTCATCGGCTGGGGCGTGTCCTTTGTCATAGTCCTCGTCCACAGTCTCGTCAGGATACACGTCACCGAAGACACAGGGTTGTGAGTAATTTGTGACGTTCGAAATATGGACCGTTTACTGTGACACTGCTGTCAGTCTGTATTCTCTTGTTTTGCGAAAATTAGAGGTTAGCGCAACAAATTAGATGAAGTCTCTCAATGTTGCTATTGTTTGATAAATAGAATTCGAATAAAATAATACATATTATATACATAACATGCATACACTACTTTCAAAATAAATTAACTCCAGAACTTAATTTTCATTTTAAAAAATCAAAAATTGCTTAAATTATATTTCATTTTAAATTGATTAATTTAATTTAATTTAATTTAATTAAAAATTTTGAAACCATTTGAAATGTTCCTAGAAATATTTTCTATATGAAAAACAAACACCAACGGCTAAATACATCTTACGAGAATTTCGGTAATTATCTCCGTGCTTTAAATTATGGAAAAAGAATGCTAAATAATGTAATGTTAACATATCAAAAAACCAAAGGGGGTACTCATACCTAGATTTTACAATGAAATTGAGAATGTTGAGAAAGGTAATGTCTTTTTGGAATTTTTAAAAAAAAATTTATTTATTAAATATTTCACCCTATGTATATTGATCAATAATTATCAATCAAAATAAAAAAATTATATTTGCCATTTTTTCAAATTTCCACAATTAACTTTCTCCTTAGTAATATAGCAGAATATAGATTGCATATAAATGTAAAATTATTTATCCTAATTTTCCCTAAATTTAATCAAACTTCACAATTAAATTCACGACACGAATGTTGGCAAATGTCAAAAATCAACATAATTATGTTGGTATGGGATACTTGCCAACAGTTGAGCATTTCAAAGGTAACTAGATTAATCAATTGTTTTTTGGCGCCTAAGATCGAATCTCTGTGCGACGCAGGAGGAATTCAGAATATTTATAAATAGCAAAAAATAAAAAAAATAACTTCTACTCTACCCTATACTATAAACGAATGGTCATTTCTTCTGAGTCACTCTGTATATAATACATGGTTATATCGTCCTCTCTCGAGTAAACGAAGAAATTTTCACCATAAACCTGCCTTCCACAACGAATCATCTTGCAGGTACAATAAAATCGCCATTTTTTCTCTCTCGTTTTGTTCCCTCCGCGGTGTTATCGAACATCGACAAGGAAATTTAATAAAACCAGATATGCGGAAAGTGTAATAACAACCCGTGAGTTTCCTGCGAGTTTTTCCGCCCTTTTGGGATCCATAGAAAATTAACGGCGCTTGAAACCGACGTCGCGACGCTGCTGTTGATTTAAATTCGCGCCGATTCTCTTTTTTTATTCATTCAACCGTATCTCTCTTTTACTCGAGAAATTCCTTCGGCCTCGGGACTTGATACAAAGATAAAAAGTGACACTCTCGGAAATAATCAGGTTTTTTCTTTGTGCAGCTGCTGGATGACGGAGAAACCGTTTGCCACATGGTTCGTCAGCATTCCGATCCTGATCACGTTGCTGTTATCCATGGGTAAGTGCGTCAAAAGGAAAATTTGGACATTTCGGAAATAAGGATATGAAATATTTCGACTGGGCGAATAAAAGGTTTTTTTTTCCAAAATCAGGATGTCAATCATGGGAATATTGGGAAGCATAAGAGATACGAAGATAATAATAATAATAGTAACCTGTCTCTATTATTGATCAAAATATTACATTATATGTTGTGATACAATTACAAATTGCCCTCTTCCATGTAACCACAATATCAATGGGAATGCAAAGAAAAATAAATTAAATAAAATTAATAAATAAATGAAAAAATACCACTTATTTTTTTTTACCATAGTATACAATCGTAAATACAAGAAATGGTCATACCTCATAAACTCATACGCTTTTGCTGGCCGGCGTGATAAATAATATATACCGAGGGGTAAAAATATTATCATTTTGTGTACACTGTGTCCTATTTTGGTCAAAACTGAGGGGCATTTCCGTTGTTAGTAGAGAGAGAGCCCTGGGTTACCCAAACCGGCGGTACCTTTTGATGAAACGAAAATGGCCTAATTTTGGAAATTCGATATAGAATTTTAAATGATTTCGTCTTTTTGAAGAAAAAAGAAGCATTTTGATACCAACATTGAGCCCTGGGCAAGACAAATCAAAGTTTTATTAACTTCCTCCCGGACAAGTTTAGCAAAACGGAATGAATTAGAGCCAAATTGTTTATTAGTATAATGTGAGGACACAAAACGAGGCTTATGATGGATGGGCCCGCCCTTCCTCGGACCAGGGAGCTGCTTAGACTGACCAGGAGGGAGTGTAGAGCACTAACAGGGGCCTACACAGGACATTGCAGGCTTAGGAGGCATCTCTGCTTGCTAGGCATTGGAGACGACCCGGAGTGTAGGTGGTGCATGGAAGGGGAGGAGACCCCGTATCATCTGCTCACCGAGTGCCCTGCCTTGACATGGGCAAGATTGGGAGTCTTCGGAACGGCCCTGATCGATCCGGACTCAGTGCACGGTATTGGGCTAAAGGAGTTGCTGACCTTCTACAGGAGGGGCGGCATTCTGGACGCATTCTAGAGCGGCCTGGGGGCACAACGGGCCCATCTGGTGGCCTAAGTGCTTGGACGCCCGCGAGGGCACCCCCCTTTAATACCAATACCAATACCAATACCAAGGTCTGCTCAAAGTAGGCCAAAAATGTTCACATTTTCACAGAGGAGTTTGCAAAATTCCTTAATTCTCTATACTCGTTTAGAACAATATCGTGACCTATTTTTAAGTTTTATTGGAAATTTAAGCTTTTCTGTGAGCCCATGGGCTGGGGTCTCTAAATCCCAACTGTTTTTAATGGAGCACGAAGAAAATCAACGTTTACGTTTATACCATCAAAAGAGTATAAAAGATCCCAGTTACTTCCTTCAAGACTATTCATAAACCTTTTGTCTCTAAATCATATTTCAATACACGTGGATACATCAAACATCAATAGTCAAAAAGTTTCCTAAGTAAATTAAAAGTTGAAGATCTATAACATGTTCCCAGACAGATCTTTCTCGCTTCGTCCTTAGTAGACATCCATTATGTACGCCTAATAATGCTATAATCGTAGGTTAAGACCACCATTGGGTACAAGAGTTCAAAAGCCGACAAAATACATTCCAGAGTCCAAGATAAATTGAGAAAAAATATCAAAGTGCAGACAACTAAATAACTGAATAAAAATGGGCCAAATTGTAAATAATATCCACACGACAGGCATCCTTAGCTTTGACCCGCCATTTTTTTTTAAGTAGTAGTTAAACAATACCTTAAACGAGGGAGGATGTATTTTTTTTTTAATGGAAGATCAGAATCGCAACTCACGCAGGCGATGGAAAAACAAACGTCACGTCGGCAGTTTTTCCGTTACAGTTTTCCTGATAAACATCCTGCGAGTCATCCTGACGATCATGCATCCCAACTCGCCGAATCCGGCACCCGTAGGGATACGTAGGGCGGTAAGGGCCGCCCTCATACTGACGCCCCTGTTTGGTCTACAGTTCATCCTGATACCGGTCAGGCCTTCTGCTAGCCACCCTCTCTATTACGTCTACATGTACGCCACTGTGGTTATAATTCCATTCCAGGTAAGGGTCGTTCGTAATTACTGCGCTTAAGATTGAAATATATAGATAAATAAAAACATATGTCTTTGTTGCTGTAGCCGTTATTAACAACAAATTATGTTTCCACTTAAATTTAGAAGCAAGGAGCAATAAAATTAACAGACATTGACACGGTGGGGTGGGAATGGGATCGAATTAAGGGCAAGGAAGTATCTAAGTAAGGGTTTAATTCCCATATTGGTGCCAGGCAAAAGACCAGAAAATTCCACCAATCACGTGAAGGGGATGCCGGTATGAAAATTGAAAATCACTTAAGCTTTTCGAAAATATATATTTATATAAACTTGTTTTTTGAAAATGAAGCTCAAAATTCGATTTTTTTCATTTTTTACTTTTTTGTAACAGTGGACAAAGTAAGATACACTAAGCGGTTATTACCACGCAAGAGACTATTTATAATAAATGTATTTTAATTTATTAATACAATTGATATTGTGGAATCATAATGTTAAGTAGATAGTTGGTTATTATAAGCAAAAAGCAAATGTGTCAGCAACTTACGAGACTGTCAGTTTTTAGTTATATTTTGATTACCTATCCATTTGCTCTTTCTGTGTTTATTTCGACAGAAAGGCCCAACAGAAGTATCGTGTTTTGTTTTGGGACAACGAATAGCCTACCGAATTGGGTTTCTTGTGTGCTAATATTGTTTTTAATAGATTAATTATGGCTTCAACAAATTTTTAAAACTACTTGATACTAACGTATCTTTCTGAAAAGCTAAAAATAATATACGGGGTGTTTCATTTAAAAAAATATATGTTTGCTTCATAACTAATAAACGGTTAGAGTAATTAAAAAACAAACTATGCCACTGGATTCTACGAATAAAATCCCATAAGAACGTGTTTTTGAAATTCTTCAGTAACTTATAAAATAACGGAGATAGGAGGGTGGTCCCAAAATCGATAGTTTTGGATTCCACCCTGTACCTTAAAAGCTAAGATGGCCGTGATAATGTTTTCCACGGCATCTGTAATTTCACAAAAAAAGTGTTACAGCGTCGCGCGAGATAGCCGGTACATACCAAAAATCTCCTTCGAATTTGGGACACCCTGTACGGTTAACCAGCAGCGCTGGCTTTGTCGCAAAAAAATGGCCAGGGACGACATCAAAGGGGCCTTTTAAAATCGCAAATCACGGGTTGTATTGCCTTCTTTTTTGTTACGCGATCAAAAGAAGGACGCAAAAAAAGGAAATTAACGCAGTCCGAGTTTCTCGTTCTGTTTCCTGATTAAATCTTAAGGGCAAATCGCGAGTCTCGGAAATATTAGAGCTGCGTCTCAACGAAAGAAGCACTTGGGAAATTAGGTATAGTGCTTTCGCAAGTAAATGGTTTTGGCTTGTCAAATGCAATTAAACCGCCTGTGCAAAAGTTGTGAAAAGTAAAAGTGTAAAATCTTACTAGTCGCTACATGGTCTTTATCTGCTTATTTAAAAATGGAAATGGATCAGTAAAATATTACGGAAGTATTGTTATGTTTTGAAATTTGGAAGAGTTAATATAGGCTGGATGTCCAATTTTTTGGTTGCACTTCCGGTTTGAGCGGAAACGACACTAACTTTCTAATTTTAAATGGCACAACCTATATTTTTTGCATTTTTTGATTCAGTATAGGACAGTTTTTCCTCTTTTTTTTGTTTTTTTTTAATTTTTATTTATTTTTATTTCCATTTCTTTACTAATAAGGCGACGTCCCGAATAGCGGGCTGCAATGCACGAGCCTGTCGAGAGTTTTTTCTGCATTCCTCGTATATCGAAAACATATCAATTTTTTCTCAATTTGTAAATTGATTATTGTTTTCCATGGTAATCTAAATCGATAACACAACAAAATCGTTTATCAGACAATCTGAATTGTTAGTCATGCCGACTTGACGACGAATAGAAACGAAGCCACCTAAGTAATATTTTGTTTCTATAAAATTGTGTTCACTTATCTGGTGTTTTTCTTCCTGTGAGCTTATTTTTTAACGAATTTTGAAAATGTTGGTGTCAAAAGGTTGCAAAAAAAAAATAGTTTATTACATTAAATGCTATTTGCCATTAGACAAGTAAAGAATAGTTTCATTTACAATCTTTCCCATGATCAGGTGACCCGGTAAATAGTATTTATGAAAGTCACAGCCTCCTATACACAATTCTATTATATTAGCCAGAAAAATACCAAGACTGATGGCTACCACTTTAATTCTAGGAATAGCTAGACATTTTGAGGTAGTGATTCACTAAAATGAAATATACCTAAATAAATTAAAAATAACAAAATAAATAATAAAGCGGTTTCCTTTAAATGGTCCTTAAAATTTCAAAAGCTCGTGGCTTAGATAGAATATATGTCCATTTGATATTTTTTACTTCAAATCACTCCGGTAACACTCTCTGCAGCTTTAGCAGTCATGTCGTGGGACACCCTGTAAACATACGAGGTGTGTTCAAAAAGTAAGGCGACATAAATATTTTGGTAATGTTGATACAGATGTCCCTATCATATGTTCACAGTTTGAGCAAGTTTGCACTTTTTTTTTGTGAGACAGAAGCGTTAGACGTGTTTTGTGTGCAGTGCAGTGCAGTGTCGCAAAACACTTGAAATGTTGACAATGGCGAATCTACTTTGAGCAAAAAAATTGTTTATATGTGGTACAGGCTGTTCCAAGATGGCCGAGAAGATGCCGATAACGAATTTCGATCTTTGCACGGGGCGTAACTGATAAAAGTGTTGAAGACGTGAAACAAATAGTGTTGAAATATCTTCGAATCACTATTAGAGAAGTGGCTAAAGACGTTGGCATCTGTATTGCAATTTTTTCCGAAGTTTTAGGCATGAAATGTGTAGCAGCAAAATGTGGACCGTCTAAGGAGCATCGCTCGAGAGCTGTTACACGACTTCAATGATTATCCTGCTACGCTCAATTAAGTTCAGAACATGGCGACGAATGATGGTTATATGGTTATGACGTCGAAACCAATTCGAACCAAGACCTCCGCAGGACCGTGGTAAAACCCACCCCAACAGATGTACCTGTACTCTGTGTATCTTACAGTAAAGTTTGAAAATGATCATTTTTGGGTCTTCCACATAGTTCTTCGATTCCTTTGTAAGACTATAGACTATATTCGCGGTAGCCCTATAAGAATACATATAAATACAAAAATTACAATTAAACATTGTTTGAAGGATCCTGTTTTTTCAGCAGTTTAGAAGAAGACATGGAAAATAACGCACTCAGCAAAGAAAAAAAAACGGAACCATTGTCTTTGGGTGCTAAACAACATATTGTGTTGAATGTTTACAATTTTATAAGAAATTCAGAAAACAGGTGACATAGACATGTTCCAAGAATTGCTTCGGTTGTAAAAGCATTATACTTCTGGTAGAAGTATACCACAAGGTTGTACGGTAAATAAATAGTATTACCTTGAAGTTCGCACAAGTGTATTACATCTGGGGGATTATTTTGAAGGAAACAACGTTAATTTTGATGAATAAATATAATAATAATACCAAAAATACTTTTCGATAAAAGTTACAAGTCACTTTACTTTTTGAACACACCTCGTATGCGTAATTTTTTTGCGGCTTCACGTCACTTTTTTTGTCTCCATTTTAATAATAAACGTTTTGTTACTATTATTTTATTCATGTTATTCTTTCTTTCTTGACGGTTGTGTTCCTTGTTTATTTATTATTATAATTTTTATGTATTTTTCGAAAACGTAATTTGTTCCGGTGCATGGTGCGTCCAATTTAGAAATCAAATTCGACTTGAGCTGAATCATTAAAATAAAATTGGAGGCAAAGACGCAAAAAAAAGTACCGAAAACGCGAAGAAACGCTATCGATTCAAACAAAAACGACTTGGGGTTTCACGTTTCTCCGCCCTTGTAACTCCAGTCGTGTTTATTTGAAGCGCGCAAATATTTTCCCGAATAACGTTGAAAACTGAGCGAGTAGCAATTTCTGTAATTTAAGAGTTACAAATAAAAAGTGACGCCCAGTGTCAAGGGGGGTTATAAATGTTATAACAATAACTTTTTTTCTGTCTCGTTTGTGTGATTCATGGACGTTGTCTAATGAAACGTGTCGACGCTTTTTGCCCTTCCGATTGAATCCCCAAACCAGACGAAAACTCTCGTCTGTTTGACATTTATTTATGTTCGGAATTGTTTTTTATTCCTCCTAGAAACGTTTTAAATTATTATCGAACAATACGTACATATATTTTTTTTTGGTCCATTCAAAAAACAAAACTTCTTACCCACATATAATAATAATACAGTAGAGAAGAAACTAAATAGGAAGTTACGTTACATTGATAAATTAAATATAGTATAATAGATAAATGTAAAAATAAAAAGAAATAGAAAGAATTTAATTGAATGTGATTTTACTGAATCGGGTGTACTATTAAAAATTACTAAGAAAATCATCTGCCGAACAAAAATAAACGATATAGTCGCAGTGAGAGTCTGTAGGAGTGCCTTAAAGCAACTGATTGAACATTACGCTCGTAAGTAAGTGCTAATAACTTGGAAAACCGCAGACGCCAAAAAGTACTTGCAAGTACTGTCAATTTTTAGCCATTTAACACCGGTTTAATCTATTTCAAGTCTCCTAATTAAGATATCTAATGTAAGCACGCTTTGTTCCTAGTATAACTGGTAAATTTTACGACGTATTATATATTGATCAATTTTCCATAGAGTTGATGTCGCAATTTTCGTCAATGTGGTCGTCGAAACTTGTTATTGGTGTTAAATTCTACAACTGAATGGGGGTTTTCATAGACCCGAACATTCCTAGAATAACTATATTCATCTGTGGATAGTATTTCTTGGTCAAACAAAGGATAATGCACGATTTTCTCCAAAATCCTTCCATGAAAATTGACACGCAAGGGAAAATCTCAGTGAAGTAACGCTTGCACTCGTCGAATACAATAGAAAATTGTTTCAGTCGGAGAAGAGAGTGACTCGACTTGAGATATTTAAAAATATGTAAAAATATATAAAAATATGTTCCAATTGAGATAGGGAGGTTTGGTTCCAGATAATTTGCAATAATGTTGTACTTTTTTAATTTATTCAATATATTACTAAGATCCTTGAATAACCTCAGCGTTGTACTTATCTCAAAGACGACGAATAAAAATTTATTTTCCTGCCGTATCTTCCAAAGTGGTGGGGGATTTTTGGTTTTCTCAACCTTACTAACCCTCAACATTTTTCTAATTAAATCATCTTTGTATCTCTTTCGGTTTCCAGCATCCCCATGATAAGTATCTTCGACACAGTGAATATATTTTTGTTCCTAAAGAGCGGCCCTCGCTCATCGATCAAATCGAAACCGAACATCAGGAAGATGTCGGCAAGACAAAAGAACTAATTTTCGACCGTTCGTCGGCGACAATGTCCGACATATTGGCAATTTTCCCACCAAATTGGAACACGCAGGCAATTGAAACGCTTACTGCAATATTTTCGATTGAGCTCTCTTAAAAACCAAAAGGGCCATGAAAAACCGCAATTTTCTATCTATATCAAAACGAGACAACCCTTACATTGAAGTCATTTTAAGTGTCTTGCTCAGATTTTAAAGCAAGTTAATTTATTTTTATACTTTTTACAAAACTTATGGATTCCTCCTGCGTCGGTTTTTGCTGAGTCGAAATTGCTGACGTTTCGCCAATCATCCTGTTGGCTTATTCAGAGCTTGACTGAAAACTGGATGATTGGCGAAACGTCAGCAATTTCGACTCAGCAAAAACCGACGCAGGAGGAATCTATAAGTTTTGTAAAAAGTTTTGAAGCGCGTTCTTTACGAAATTATGTCTTGGCACTTGTCAAATATCAACGCGATCCTGCTTTCGTTATCCGATCTTGTTAAATTAATTTAAGTGAAATGTAATTAAGCATATTTAAAGTAACATACCAAAGAGCACAAAATGAAGCTGTTAGTTTCGGTTTTCGACGTAAGGTGGCGCGAGTTTCGTCTGCCCTATTCGCCTTTAATTTTCTGCCCTTCGTCCAGGGACTGTGTTGCGCCGTCCTCTTCTGCTTCGCGAACCAAGACGTCCACCAAGCGATCAAGAGGAGTTACCAGAGGAACATCATGAGACAGAGCACTAGGTGGAGCAACTACCAGTACACGGGGGGCGTGGACAGCGGCGCCGGCGTATTCATGGTCAACGGAAACGGTAATGAACAGTCCATTAGCTGCAAATTTTGTTATGTCAGGCAAAAATTTTCTCTGTCAGTCGGATTTAAATAACAACTAGAAAATTTTATTTTTTTAATTTATCATTCAGAACATGTAGAAAATGATCAATTTCCTAAATATACTGACGACCAGTAGTCTCGTTCGCCATCATTGTAGACTTACAATCCCCTTGAGCATCGAAATCATTGTTGTGATGTCCCCTTCTTTCATCTTCATTTGTAATTTCTTTTTCTTCCTGAATCCCGTCTTCAGATGGTTTCCAATAAATGTTGGTGAAATGGCACTCCACGTAGACATTTACGCAGATGAAAAACACCTGATGATCTGACATGAATGGACAGGGAACAGAATTTAAAACAAGACTAGCATTGAAGTCAATGAATTAGAAATTTTCACACACACTTCTACATGAAACTTCCCCCTCTTCCAAAATTTCCCGCCAAAACTGGCTCAGAACCGGCACTGCTATACAACTAACGATATTAGAAATTTTTTTTAGGCAGAGATCACGATGCATTAGTAGACACTAATTAAGATCTATACTGAGACACTTCGGTTTCTAGAATAACCATACCCGATGACGGTTTCGTTATACTCCATCTCTATCTATTTCATCCACTTGGGTCCATCTCATTTGATATTTCGTCCTATTCCTTTTACGTTTACAAGGATAAAGGTCACAACCCTTACATTGACGTCATTTTAAGTGTCTTGCTCAGATTTTAAAGCATGTTAATTTATTTTTATACTTTTTACAAAACTTATGGATTCCTCCTGGGTCGGTTTTTGTTTAGTCGAAATTGCTGACGTTTCGCCAATCATCCTGTTGGCTTCTTCAGAGCTTGACTGAAACTTGTAAAAAGCATTACTGTAGCTTGTGGAAGTTTCTTTGAAAAATTAACTCATAATATGTTGTACAAGTTCTCTTTCTTCATCTAGAAACGTACATTGTCGCTGTGTGAAGAAATAATGGTTTGACTGTCATTATAATTTTCTATCACACGTGTTGGTAATAGAGTTTCATTGGTTCCTTGCAGGTAATACCACCAATACGACGTCGATACCGTTGCTTTCCATCCGGAGGTAGTCCGAAGCGCGGAAAGGCCAGCACAGGTAAGTTCTTCTATATACAGGGTGTTTCTAGAAGAAGATCATCAGATAACGTGCTAGAAACCGAATTAAAAAAATCTAAAATAAATAACAAAGTCTCAAACAATAGTTAAGTCAATTTTTTTTTCAAAGAAATTTCTCTAGGCTAGTGTAATACTATTTACAAAACTTCTGGATTGCTACTGCGTCCGTTGTTGTTGAGTCGAACTTGATCACGTTTCTCCAATAATCCTGTTGGCTTCTTCAGAGCTTAAGTGCATCTAGCTCTCATCGTATTCTGCATAATCTGTCTCAATCTTTAGCGTGCTGGCTTTTGCCCGCAATTATGGAAGTTACCCAACGGCAATAAAACTCGCTTCCGGTAGGTATTAACACTAATTTTTGGTAATAATATATGAGCGCTATTACACTAAGAAAAACAATGACATTAAATATATGCAAGAAATTCATAGCTAGGAATATCAATACATAATTAAATTGTCATTCTTATTATCTAAATCTTATACTGCTTCACTACGAGAGTCGTAGTCGTCATTGAGATAAATTATAATAGGTTTTATGTTGTTTTGTACAGAAATTTAAGAGTCATCCAGTTTTATAAGGTGCTGAATTTTTTCAGCTCTTAATTGGTATGTTATTAATTAAATTTTTTATCAAATTTATAACGCTGGGACTTAAAGTAAGAATAATTAGACATTTTCTGCGCTGATATGGAGGAAAACAGTATACCACATATTCCTGGATTTCAGTTTTTGAACTTGATGAGACTGTTGCTTTGCGTAGCTGGCGGTTTTGGTAACTTGCGTTATCCATTATATTCTAAGAGATTGCTTTAAAACCCATTGTCAAAAAGTTCGGGACTTGTATCCTCACGATAATCCAGTATTCTCTGCAGGCAACAGCACTGGGGTTTTTGTAAGTAGACAGGTTTCCTTTAAAGTAATTCTATAGATTCTCGGATTTTTAGTTGGTAGTTCCACAAGTCTTATCTAAACAATATGTATTTCGTTTTTCCTAGTAGTGGCAAGTTCCATACCATCTGAATTGGTAAATTTTATTTTGCCAAAAAAACCACAGCACTGGTTGGTTTGTTTTTGTTTGTTATTGTATATGAAAGTCGTTTCTGTTAAAGGTTTTATCAGCTTAGGACTTCAGCAAGTTCGGTTCAGCAACAACCGACGGATGAAGTTTCTTTAAAAAAAAGCTTAGGACTTCCTATAAAGTTTTCCTCTCACAGTAGATCCCAGTGCTTTATTTCTAGGAAGGCCACGTACGTGTGAGCAGTATTAGTACCTGACTACGTGTAGGATCCGAGCACCAAACATCTTCAAAATTGACACAGGTGCGAAAATCGGAGCCAGATTATGTTCTAGAGTGCTTCCGTGGTTGAACTCGGCCGTACAGGGTGATTTTAACAATGAAACCGGAAACCATCCGGCAACGTTGCGATTTTCTAACCTTCATAAAGTAAATTAAAATGCAACTGAAATACAGTACAAAAAGATTCTTAAAGTCATACTTAGGAATTATTTTGAAGATAAAAGTGCGGAATTGTACAAACAGAAAACTGTCCTATTTGTCGGAAAATTTAAATATTCCATAGTATATGCAAACAGATAACCGCAGTTCATTTTGATTAAACGGTGATTCCAGTACACAGATAAAGGAATGGTTAGACTGTGCACTTTAAATACCTACAATACAGTCCCGATGATCTGTGGACCGTAGTGATTTCCATTTTTTTCTTGGAAAATGAGAGTTTAGGATCGATAAATGAGACATTTATGAAATGTTTTACATGAATTAATGTATTTATTTTTTTTTAAAGCAACAAATAATTTATTCAATTTTTATTACACAAACTTGTTTTGAACATAGTATTGCGTACATACATACATATGTCCCGTACCCATTTCCGGCACTTTTATGGGGTACCTTGGTTATTTTCCAAGGTAGAAAATTGCGGTTTACTCTTTTTTGTGAAATTGAAGATGCCGTCTCTGTTCTTTTAAGTTACTGAAAAACTTTCCCGTAGGATTTTTTTTCTTGAAATCCAGTGGCGTAGTTTGTTTCTTATTAACTCTAACCGATTTTTAATTATGAAGCATTAAATACATTAATTGCAAATCATTTAATCTTTTTAAAAATATGTATTAGTATTAAGTATATTATATTTTATTTGTAGAACTAGGCTATGATCAAATTATTAAAAACAATATCCAAGTAAACAATTATTAACATATAAGAAACTCAATATTTTAAAATTCAATTATTTAAATCTTTTTATACGTAATGAATTACTATTTGCAATAATCAGGACGTTGACTGTCTATGAAGAAATAATATTTTGGTTAATTAGGTCGCCACTGCACTGGTTAAATCGAGGACTTCTTTTTTTAAATAAAATGTCTGCCTAAAAAAATATCCTAGTTTTTAGTTACCAAGTAGTGTCCTTCAGAACAAAAATATTTGGTAGGCTGTTGCTTTTTCTTTTTCAGTTTTAATGAAATAACACCCTAACAACAAGATAAATATTAATATAAATATTATTCTTATTTTAAAATAAACACTACTTACTATTAACGATTTTTTACAAAATTGAAAGTGTCCTCCATTTTGAAGTATAAATATTCCAAAATATAAATATTCAAAATATTTTTTAAGGATTTTAATAAAACATAATAAAAATTCAAAATTTTAGTTTTTAAGAAAAGTTCATTTTCAATATATAAATACTAAGATCTTTATGGTCATCTAGGATAGGTGGCCAATTAGATTATATAATTATTATCTATACTACTACTTCCAACGGAAGAAAGAGACCTTGCAGACAATGATCGGCACGGTAGGATTTCCTGGAAACTGAGATGAGAAACTAAGCTTAAGCTAGAACAAGGCTTTTACAACGAAATCCTAGCCTAGTTTTTGTTTATTACCTTAGCCGCTGTACTTCGTACAGGACAGTACTGAAGAAATAATTATTATGATGAGTAAAAAAATTGAAATTGCAACGTTGCCGATGATTTCCCGCGACGCTAAAACTCCTCCAGCATTCTCTTTCCCTACTATTTGTATCGGACTGTGTGTATACCTATTTATATATATACTTACGTATGAACGGAATGTATTTTAGATAAACTTTTATCTCGCTAAGCAGATTTGTTTTAAGCTCAGTTTGATTCAATTGAAAAAAAAAACAACTGAAAATTACGATGTCTAATTAGAAGGTATAAGTCAGCTGTTGAGTGTCTATTGTTAGCACGTAAGATCAACTCAGTATTATTTAGTTTTTAGTTTTCATACGACTCTGATTTTGAATGTTGAACGCACTGCGCAGCATGTCGAGCGAAATGATTCTCAAATGCCACTTTTAGACGTCAGTGTGACCACAGCAGACTAGCTTAAACTTAACTTAAATGTGAACTCAAGCGTGAATCGAGGAAATATAACAAATGCTATCGAATGATGTATCTCAGGATCATAGGGGTCACAAAAACAAAATTCGGCGGGAATTAGAACCGGCGATCGCGCAGGTCACTGGATGTGTAGTAAAGTCTACTTGATAGGTATTCTCGAATTGTAAGCGAGAGTCCTATATGGTTGAAACTTAGTGGTGAGTTAGTATTAAAAATTACCCAATTATCATCGAACAATTCAAAAAGTGCCCTTCTCACTTCAGTACATTCCTGGGATTACAGATTACCTAATATTGTTCTGGGCATTCTCATTGCCTGCTTTGTGGTTCTATCAATAGCAACTGGTTTTTTTCTCTATCACCTAAGATTTTTTGATCAACATTAAAAGAACTAATAAATGAAAATCCCGTGCAAGAACAAAAACCGAATTAAAAAATCGAAATTAAATAATAAAATTTATTATCTTCTCCCCTTTGACCGAGAAACTTCGTTTACTGGATTTTCTTATATACTCCGTGGCCTCGATATTCCATTCCATCGACCTTGATATCTGCGTTCAATTTTTTTATTTCTCTTATGTCTCGTAATTTTTTTAATAACTTTAACACTGTACATTAGAAAATTTTCGTTTTAAACTTTGGCAAGAGCATATAACAACTTGATTCTAGAAATTTTTGAAATATGCAACGGCTTCGTCGTGAAAATTATGGTTAGAAAAAAAATGTCGCCGTGTTCCTATCTAGTAGAACCACCGACGAAATATTCCTAATTTAAAACGTAATACGTAAGTTTGTAACGAAGACTGTCTTTTAGTTTATAAATGGATGACATATCCTAAACCGAGACGGGAGATAAAACGCTTAGTTACTAATTAGTCGCTAAGCTGTGAAAAAAATTGGGTTTCCTATATTTTTCGATACGGCAGTATCGAAAAAGGGGCATGTATTGTTTTCACTTCTCATTATAGACGTTTGTGTACCGTAACGTAGTTTGCACGTGATATGTAAGGGGTTTTCGCGGTAAGGGAGGTCTTTCGTATACAGTGCGTTTTCAAAAAAAAAACGGCAATAGAGTAGTGGTTTTCTTCCATTTTGAACCGAATTTATTGATAAAATTTGCACCACAATCGACAATGAACTGTCAATCAGAAAATGAATTTCTTGCTAAATACAATTTTTAAAGCAAAGAATTCCTGTTTGCCAGTCGGTATATGACATGCATGTTATACTAAAGCTCTTATTGTTACCAACTTAAGAATTAAATGAGTAAGTAAATAAGTTTGATAATAGTAATAGGAAAAATAGATTTGTTTTCAACTACTAACTTTTCTATCTCGTCGTGCATTACTTTAGATTTTATTTTTTATTTGGAAAATAAGAATAAACTTAAAATAAAAAAAAACTTTGTCTATTTTTTCCCGTCATATTTGCAGGCTGCATTTTCCTCCGAAGTCGTTCTACAGGAAATTATATAATATACGAAAGGTCTCTTTTCCTCAGGAATCCCCGTTTATAAATATTCGTTTAAAAATTTATGTACACCTTATACTGACGCAGTATCAGTTTTTTGCAAAGCTTAAAAGTATTTTTCAAATTCCAGCCTAAAAGTCACCCTGGAAACGTAACGTTTTTTTTTAACTTCCTGCTTCCTGGAAAATTTCGTTTTATTGTCGATTTTAAAATTGCTGCTGGAAAAAACTGATACACCCTGTATATGTCTTTTGCGGCGATCGAAACTGCGAGAATATCGAATATTTTTACTAGCATAAAGTCATTTTCGATCCCCGCAAAGGGATTTTCCGCCCCCCCCTCACCCCTCTCCAGACCTGACTACAATGTAAACGAATGTGCAAAAATAAAATCTACGAAAAAAATGGTGGTTTCTGTTTATAGCACCCGGAAACTTTGCAGCCGACGCCATTAAACGCGATTAAATTTAAGTGGAAAAGGAAAGTGATATCGTCTCTGTCCGTCTGTCGTAATTTTTAAGAAACAATTGAAAAATGAACAGAAATATATTGTTTCTCATTTAGAAATTTAGATCGATGATACTTTAAGTAGGAATGTTAAGTTCATTTTTGAGAAATAATTGGAAAATGAACAAAATTATAGTACCATTTAGGAATTTAAAGTTAATGCCGCTACCGCAAATTTATGACACCACTATATCTAAATCTCGATTATACTATAAGTAGGAATCTCAAAATCATTTTTAAGAAATAATTGAAAAATGAACAAAATTATGTGTGCCATTTTTAGGCTGCCAACGCTGCCCTGAGCGGATAGATTTCGGTTGCTTGTATCGCCGCTAGAAGCTGTTTTGAGACATCACTAGAAAAAAATATTTAATTAAAAAAAACTCAACGATATCATTTACATCGCGGCAAAGGATAGGCAAAAACAGTTGCAAATAGTTTCTAGTTTTTTTTGCAAAATTTAAGCAGTCGGAAAATAATAAAATTAAATATTTTATTAGAAAAAAACATTTTCACCGATCAGGTTTGAACCCTCGACCTCGGTGTCGCGGCTAACGCTCTAGCCAAGGGCGTTTTTATTTACAACTAACAATATAGCCCGGTTTTTAGGGTTATTTAGCTTTTTGTCCATAACCCAAACGTCTTGTATTTTTTAATAAAGCACATAATATTGCAAACACCCTGTATGCTATGGAAAAACCGTCTATACAAAAATTATGGATCTTGAGTACACACACAGAGAAAGTTGGTATTGTTTAAATTCCATTTTAAAATTTTTTGAAGAAAGTTTTTTTACATTTTCTTCAGCGAATTGAACAACATCATTCCTAAACAGTTAAGTACGATATTTAGGAATTGAAACCATACTCTCATTTCTTAAGTTACAGCTGTCGTGAATTTTTTGAACGCTAATGGTTAAATATGTTCGTGAAACCTAAGCTCCTGGCAGCGGTTCCAGAAATTTGAAAATAATCGGAGGAAACCGAAATCAAAAAATAAAGCCGACCACACACGTCGCAGCGAGCGGAACCGCCTTCATCGGCATTACTTTGTGCGCAAAAACGGTCGGTTCTCGTAAGCATTGCGGGACTAATATCCGCCAATTACCGATCGGGAGGCGGTAATTAGCGATTTTTTCGTCCTTGGAAAAGACGTAATGACACACCGTAGTTTTTAAGTGCACGGAAGACCGGTAACAACGCGGATCACTAATTATTGTATTTCGAAGCTGCCCGCCCCCTCTCGCCATAGTATTTTGATTAAATTTCGAATTCTTAAACGCCATGTCCCGACATATACGATTTTTACATCTATGCACGCACGTTTCCTATAATTCACCCCGTATAAACTGCCTCGACTAAGCTCCAAAGTCAACAGTTGCGACCTTTTCTTACGGGGGCATCTTAAAAGTCTGGTTTATCGCACCACAGCTAACACTGTAGTAGAGCTTTAATAAGAAACGATACACGTACACTGGATAATGCTTCTTAGTGCATAGTATATGTGAGCCAAATTTCATTAAAATATCTAAAGTACAGATATTAAAAAAATATATTTTATGAGAAATAGCCCTCTTAATTATTGACACTCAATTAGAAAACACCTTATATACCGGGTGGGCTGGGCAAAAAATCCCGTGTCCCGGGCGTTTCTGATCTAAATTTCGTTCGGATATCTTTGAGAAATAACGTTAAAAAATTAACGTATGGAGCCTTCTTAAAAGTAAAACGTGTCGTTAAATCAGACACACACAAGCTTTTTTTCTCTCCTTTGTGATTCTCGATCTTCTAAAAGGGAGAACGATAGAAATTTCCATCGGAATTTTAGGGCGTTTTTTTTCCGGCTTTTCGCTCAAAGGAAAGTCACGATCATCGTTTGTTTATTTTTTATAGACGGTCGGAAATCTTTCGATAATACGTGGAGGCAAATATCACTGCGCGAGGGCTTTTTTTTTGTTTTTTAAGCGTCATTAATAAAAACTCCCAGATGTTTATAAAAAATAAAGTAACTTAATCGCAATTCCGTCAAATGTGGCTTTAGAAAAAGACGAGAAAAAAGGTGCTTATAGGTTAACATTTTCTAAATGCCCTTCCAAACGTCGCGCCACCTAGTGGCAGACAATATAGAAAATATTAGTGGCATTGGCATCATCTAAAATAAAACGCTATTAAATTACACATAATACGAAGGACAGATATTCTCTTAGTTAGAAGAGTTTTAAAGCCATGTTTGTTTTTGAAGCTGTTCTATTGACCTGCTCATTGGTAATGGATGCAGTAGCAATTTGAACCTAACCTACAAATCAGATCTATCGTTATTATGTAGACATTTAAGTACGTAAGCGATTTATAGATTTTTAACCTCAGAAAATATGAAACTAACATAATTACATCCATCTTGTCTCAAAGCAAAGAAAAAGTTTTATTATCTCCTACTTTGCATGTGCCCAAAAAATCTGGCACATTGTTTCGTTATTTACTTCGTTGATATGACGTTGCCAGAGGATCTAATTTTACAAAAATTTACGCTTTCAATAATCAAATAACCAAAAGTAACTCCTCCATTTAAGAAAGATGTTTTTTTTTAAATGCGACCCCAAGTTCAAACTTGGTATTACGTTTTAAAAATGTCTAGCTATGTTTGTATAATTTCTCAAAATCCTTTGCATAAGCGGGTTTTCAATGGCGAGAAATGCAAATTAATTGTTTTCTGGATATGTCCCGTTTTTAACTATCTTTGGCCTATAGAGACATTTTAAATTTTTTAAATAGCCTACTTTCGTTCCGGGGCATTGAAATTTGAATGAATTTTATTCAGATACCTCAAAGTTTCCCCTACCCCTCCCTCCTCCGCCGAGTTCGTCTCTGACCAAACTTTTTTTACAAAAATGTTACAAAACTCGGCCACGATGGTTTTTTTTCATACTGATGTAGTGAGTTTTGATAGAACTTGCTAACTTCCTCGCCTTGATTTTTCGATATTTTAACCCTCTGAAAAAACCGTTCTAGACTTTTTGGTGTTGGTAGAGGGAGAATCGGAGGGTATAATATATGATTACAACTATGGAGGATAGAAAATACCAAAAATTTATTAATTGCTAACATTTCGAGGTAATTTCTCAAAGGCTTTTGCATAATGGGGTTTTCGAGCGTCACGAAACCAAATTTAATATTATTTTTACTCGTTCTTACCCATCTCCTGCCTATAAATTTCAATGATTTTTATTAATATATACCTTAAATTCTCTTCTACCGCCATTGTCCCCCAAAAAGGCTCCTCTTATATATTCAACAAAAAATTTTTATAAAAATTTTACAAAAATCATGAATCACGATGTTTTTCTTTTCACGCTGACCTAGGGTTTTTATAGACAATATACCGCGAAAATGGGCTTAACTAACTTCGTCGCCTTGATTTTTCTATATTTTTAAATCAGCGGTTGGAAATTCACCTCAAGGATTTCTTTCGAAATATGGCGCCTCCCTATATAATTCCATATTATTTCGTATCCCGTGATTCGGGCCGATTAATGCCCGATTTCCGGATTTAAAAGGTAATAAATGGAGGTAAACGGTTATACCAGACATTTTCACCACGTAAGCGTGATGTGGAAAAACAGTGCGATCTCGTTGCTGGTGCTGCTAAGTGCGACGCCCCTCGTCTTGGTAAGCAAGATTCGGTCACCCGTCACCAGGAAGGAACGTTTCTACACTTTATTATTGCAGAGTCTGAGCGAAGAAATGCAAGAGTTGGCCAATCAACTTCACAGCGCCTGCGTAGAGGAAACCGGAGCACAGGAGAGTGAGTAAAATGGAGTTTCTTCATTACCATGAAAGCGAAAACTGTTTCCATTGAAGCGCAACTGTGTAGGTTTTGTTTGACAACTAACCTGGTTATTTTGTCTTGAAGTAATGAGTACTGAGTTCGTCATTGAGTTTTCGCTATGCTGCCCATCAGGTTCAGCACTTCTTGGTTAGTAACTCCATGTCCAAGATATTTTTCGTATTCTTCTTTGCAGCCACAGTTCAAACGCTTTCAGTCTTCTGGTAGGTTCTCTGGTGAGTGTCCATGCTTTTAGCCCATGTACAGTTGTTGCCAACCTATGAGGCTTTCTGCAAACGTCATTTTACGAGTATATGGTTTAGCTTGTTGTCATTCATGATAACCCTTTCTCCAATATCATTAAGTGCTTTTCGAAATATGTATTCGGAGTACAAATTAAACAGAATCCTCTCAACTCTCTGAACTGCTATCTGATATCAGATTTTTCTGAAGTTCCCACACGTTTGGGCACTTAATTTTTATGGGCGGTGCGACGGCTGCAGATTTCGAGAAATCCTGTTAATTTCAATTCCGCTGCTGCTTGGTTCTGGACTAGTTCTATTTGAGCGGTCCTTATTTCCTCGACTAGAATGTCGGTCCCTTACCCTGTAATTGATCCTTGTTCACCTCGTACTTCTACATTACAATATTTTGTTGTGTTTTAATTCGCTGTCACCTCTCCAACCCTTGTGTGCACATCAACGCCACGGTGCAGGTCCCGATAGTGTTGGATATCACGGCATTTTACCAGTATTTCCTTTTGTTTAGCCATTCCGATGTCGTTTCTTATAATATTTCGAAATCTGCGACCTTCAAGAAGGGCCGAATTTTTAAATTATTTGAAAAAAACACACATTTCTGCACAAAAACAATTTTTTTTTTCTCAAAATTATAAATACACTCAGTATAGACCATATCACCCATAGATTGGGTAATAGAGTATAAAAGGCAGAATCAATTAATGCTATAACATACAGGTTGATCTATTGAAAAATGTGTAAGTATGATTTCCCGAATATTTATGAATCACCGTGTATATTTTAAAATAATTGAAAAATATAACATTTTTCTCGTACACAAATTATAAAAGAAATTAATGTTACTTAGACACTCCATAGCCTAACGTAGGATTGCCACGTCGCCAAATTGTGAATAATCCAAAACCTTCTTGAAAATAGATTTTAATAATCCCTTTACAAAATCATAAAATTGGGAAAAATAAAATATCTATCTAAAACAAAATATCCAGAGTTTAGTTACCAACTAGTGTCCTTATATAATATTAGAAGAATGTTCTCTTTACTTCTACAGTTTTAATGAAATAACATAACATCACCTGCTATTAATAATCTTCAACAACCTTTTTGAAAAAAAGTAGAACACAGAAGCTAGAAAAATTGTTGAAAGTGTCCTCCACCTTCAAGGAGGCACACTTCAGCTCTATTTTTTGGGGGTTATGTTTGTTTCGTGTTTTCGTAAAAGTTATTTTTTAGTTTCCCCCTAAGATTTACGGTTTTGTTTGTGTCTTCTACTAATATGACAAATTTTTCTATATTACCAGTTCTGGTTATAGGCTTTGTACAAATTACCTCTTATTTTAATATATTCCAACAGTTATCCATTCGTTTTTTTATCATGACAAGGCTCAGTCGTTAAATATACTGAACTGAAACTTTCAATGCATGGGTATTCATTACTTAAAAAAATAATTAATTAATAGAAAAATCTAACCGTTTGTCATCCAGGCGACATCCCGAAAGCTCGCGACGGCGTATTCTCCGAAGACGAAAACTTCAAGTGCTACATCAAATGTCTGCTGGAACAAATGGCCGTTGTGAGTAACAGAGAACAGACCCTTAACGCGATATAATCATCCGTAAACTAAACAAACCCGGATTAACGCGTATCTAGCACAGCGACATCTGCAAATCAAACTGGCAAGTAAAACAAACAACATTTTCAACGTTCGAGTTCAATCTGGGTTCGTTTAGTCTGTGGCAGCATGTCGAGCGTCGTTAAAATATGCGATTGCCATTTTAAAGATAGACGATGATGGTATGATAGACGTGGAAGCTATGATCTCGGTGCTGCCTGAAGAACTGGAAGAAATCGCCGCCCCGGTGATGAGAAAATGCGGGACTGTCAGTAAGTATGCTCCTGATTTTTAGAATGCTAGAGGAAATTTATCGCCCACTTGGCAACGTCGCATTTCAAATTCAAAACGAGCCGGCAAATAGGCAACCAAACATTCGTTCCTCCTGCCCTTAAATTGTACAAATAATAGCGATTTCCAATGATATTTTTTGAAATACCTCGCGCATCCGGTATATTAAACAAAACTTGCAGCTCTCCCTAGTTACAATTTACGATAATATTTAAAGCACATGATCCCAGGATTTATAGTTTTTTATTTTCTACCAATAATTTACTTCCGAAAACGGAGACTCTCAGGGTATTTTAGATTTTTTACCATTTACCGACACACCCTGTACATAATATGGCATATGAATTTTTTCTATGGGATAAACGGTTTTCGAGAAAATGCTTGTTTTTCGAAACAATGCAATACGTCTTAATCTAGGGATATAGATTTTTTCAAATATCTCGATGCAGCCTGCAGCAATATTTATGTCCGGAAGTAAAAATAACAAAAAAAAAAAATCCGAAATTTGTAAAAAATACTTGCCGATATGTGATTGCGCCCAGTTTCCGGTGTTAAACTGGGGGTGCGGACTTTTACTTCTCGACCAAATTTGAAGTCGATGGCTGCAGATTTAAGGCGCCTATTGCATATTTAATATAGTACAGATTCTCCTGAACACCCTGTACGATATGTTAAATCCTTAAATACAAAATTTTTGACTGTCTATACGAACTATATGGCCATGAAAATAAAAAGGTCAATTGCCATTATAAGGGGAATCCGATTTTCAGTTTTTTTAGAATACCCGGCACACCGGACAAAATTATCAAGAATAGAAGTTTATAAAATTTGATGTCGCATATACCTATGCCGAATTTTAAGTCAATACTTTCAAATTTCGTTTCATAGCGATGTTCAAAAAACAGTCGAAAATCGAATAAAAAAAAGTGGCCGCCGAGGTTTCAAGGCGGCCATTTTTAAATACTTAATGCAGCCCAAGTACTGTTAAAAAGGAACAAGATCGAAGCTGCCTGGTTCAAACGGTTCTTGGATGATTGAATTAAAATCCGTGATGCGGAGAACGGAGAACAGAGAACAGAAAACAGATTTTTTTTTTCGACCAATGGCGGACCTCCACCCTACCGTTACTGAGATCTGGAAAAAAAATTACTAGCACGTATACTATCGAAAAATTCTATTTCATCGTTCTTAAAGATACACCTTTCTGAATATATCGCGAGCACCCTGTACGACAAACGAAAACTGTAAACGCGAAAAATGTAGCTCTCGACGCGACCTATGGTTAAGTTGAAACCGATTTGTTTTCTATTACGCGGTTTTTCATTTACGGCCAACAACAAACCCCCAAGAATGTCGACTTGCGGGGTCCCATAGTTTTCTGCTCATCACCGACACACCCTGTACATAATCGAAAAAATACCTAACACAAAAATTGTAGCCCCGGATTCGTCACGTTTCCCGGTTTGATTAAATAGGTTTTGAAAAAAAAAAAACGACAATTTTTTTCGAAAATTTCTAAAAAATACTTACCGTGGCGCGATCTCTCATGCCTTCGCGGGTTATACCGCAAATTTGAAGTCGATGACTGCAAAATTTTAAGCCTCCTGTGGTTTTTAAAGTGGTGCGGGATATCTCGAACGCCCTGTATAATATGAAGGAACTTAAAATACAAAAGTTTGCATCCTCCACATGGGCTGTAGTGCCACTCGAAAAAAACTGACAATTAAAGCCGATTAACCAATTTTTCTCATACCTCTGCGTTTTTATTTCGTGTATTTGTCTAGGATTATTTAAAGACTGGACGAACTTTCGTCGATCCATAAAATGTTTTTCAAAAAATTATTATTCTCTCATTATGTCCCAACAAAACTGCATCTCCCTTTGACATTATATTTATATGCTTTCAAAACTGAGTGGATTGATGCCTAAGAAAAACCTGTCTCTTCATATACTCTAGTAATAGAGGAAACTGGAAGCGCTTCATAGAATCCTAAGATATTTGCCTTATTTTCTCCATTTTTACCATTTAATACGTTATGCAAATTGCAAATTTTTTGCCAGCCTTTTTGTTTTGCGGTAGCACTTTTATTGTATTGTATTGTATTGTATTCGAAAAAAAAAAACGACAATTCCGCCAGTATCGAAAAAACCCTTTTCGCAAAAGTTAGAGACGTGGTTTTCGAGAAAAACAAAATGTCTTTAAAATGCCACCCGCGGATTTGTTTATGTTTTCGCAGAGGGAGCGAACGCCTGCGAAAACGCCTGGCTGACCCACAAATGTTACTACAAGGAAAACCCGGAGGTTTGGAATCGCCGACGAGATTTCCGCCGACTTTTATTCATTACGGTTCTGTTTGTAGGCGTACTTCCTGATTTGACGAGCCGCCGCTGCGTAGGCCGACTAATAAATTGAAAAGCTCGAGAAAATACGTTTGTTTATTTTGCCCTTTTCCGCTAGATCCTCGAAAAAAGCGGCCCACGCCCGTCGACCGGTTTTTCATTCGTAATTTTCGACGGGAGCGTGATTAAGCTTTTATTTTTTTTTTTGACTAATTGAATGTCAATAATTAAGGGCACGATTTTTGGGTCCATTTTAAAAAGAAAACTCCGTATGAACATATACCCCACACGTCTTAACTTTTGAGAAACAGACAGGGTGATAAAGTTTCCAAAAATGAAATATACTTTCATCAAATCAATGTTTTTAATGCTCAGTAAGTTCTTTGTTTGGACTGATCGGTGAGCATTGTCATCGTGAAGAGGGATTCGTCTTCGGCGGTTGGGTTTTCTAATTTCTTCAAAGACTTTCGGCAAACAAATGGTTCCCCATAAAAACAGTCGCCAGCCCTCGTAAATTTGATAAAAAACGTACTTAATAACCTACCAATTGACAGCTGGAAATAAAAATTATACAATTTAACAGCTTATTGTAATGTAAGCATTGAACAAATATTAATACAAAAAAACACTTATATTCAAGGTATACTAAGGTTACTAGGTAAGGTTGTGGTTAGATTTAACTTAAATATAATTTTCTAAATTCTTTTTTGTATTACGTAAAGAGGCTGAAGAGTTGTGTGATACTCAGCACCCCAACCAATTATTCCATAAGGTATAAGTGATTTTAGTAGTGAAAAATAAGTCAAAAGAAGTATCAGATTTTGTAGCAAGTTGGGGAATAAATATATTAAAGATAGTAACTTTTTCACTAACTATTCGATATAGAAGTTCCACTCTAATTTTGACTATAGGTAGGTAACATGCTCAGCTCTACCTAAAGGTCAGCAACTGCTTTTGAACAATAGTTTTATAGTAAGTTTATTGATATTATGACATTATAAATAAGAGCGATGGCCGTTTCCACATTCGACATGCAAAATCACTAATTTCCAATTAAAACGGGCGTTAATTAATTACTAATTACCCCCGTAAAACGCCATCCTGTAATTAAAAATCAGCGCGTGGACAAAAATACGTCCGTCGCCGCGGATTTATTTCATTTCTACGCCGTCGCTTAATCGAACGTTTCCCGTAATTGAAATTCGACGATCATGTGCAGATGTTTCGTCCTCGCTGCGTTCGGCTTCATTTTGTACGTGTCAAAATACGCATCGGTAAGTTTCGGGGCATAAAAAAGCTCCCTCGAATCGTGTGACGCAATGCGGGACAGATGCGAAGGTAGGCAACGAGATATACGCGGCCGCGTAGAGGTACGAGCAGATACGCATCGTTACGCGTTTTCCAATATAATTAGCGGCGGAGTTGATAACTCTTAAGAAGTTTCCGAAACTCTGGCATTGTCTTCTAACCGTAGCGGAAATAGAAACAGTGCTTGAGCTGAATAGGGGAGGATGAGGCAAGGCGGCTCCACTGGGGCAAAAATTAACCAATTTTTTTTTCGTTATTATAATTTTAAATTCTAGTTATTTGTACATATTTAGCCCTTTGCGTAATACCAGGGGTAAAATGGACCGCTTAAAAATTGTAAAAAGAAGCTAATATATATTATTTTATTGAAAGTGTTATTTTTTGGAAAATCCTAGGAATTTAGCCTAAAGCCAGAACTTTCGAAAATCTTACAAATACCAATAACAAATTTTTTACTAGATAGAAAAACCGTTACTAATCAATAACGTTTTTTTAATTAAAGACATCGCCATAATTTGGGTAATTTTAGTTAAAGTTAGTCAAAAATAAATAGACTTGATGATAAAAAGCCACAAAAGTAGGCCGCCTTACCCCACCCACTCCTAAGAGTAAGGCTGTATACTCAAAGGCTCAACTTTTGGAGCAACCACGCCGCTAGAGGTCGCAACCTCTACTGTAAATCAGAAAAAACAGGTTTTCTCAATAATATTCCAAATTAACCTATATCAAAATTAGTTTTAGTTTAATCTACACTAGACAAGGAAACTTTTTTGTTGAACTATTTTTTTCTATCTCGTCAAATTAAGGGTGGGGGAAGGGTCAAATGTTGGTTTAGAAAAAGTTGAATAACTTTTTTTTGGCTAATCCGATTTCGACGAACTTAGTCTGGTTTTAAAAAGTATTTATAGGACCTTCGACTGGCTTATCAATATCACGATATTAATGTTTTTACGAGTCGGTAGGAGGCGCTTCATGTCAAAAACAGCTATTTTTATTATGTTCTCGAAATCTTCAAATATAAAGGTATAAATATTTTCAGCTAGGATGAAAGAGCGTAGAACCACAATAATAATAATAATAATAATAATAATAAATGTTAATAATTTAAATGCATTCAAAATTACTGGGGTTTTTACATTTGAACAGTACTTGAATTAGTCTTACAACTTAAAAAATATATATTTATAGGTTATTCTGCTAAAAGAAAAAGCTGGACATTATTTTTGGGTTCATAAAATGGCCGTTGGGGGGCGCAACCTCTACTGTAATATAGAAAAAACGAGTTTTCTCACAAAAATTCCAAATTTACCTATATCAAAATTAGTCTTAAAGTAATCAACTCTAGATAAGGAAACTTTTTTGTTTGAACAATTTTTTTCTAAAGCTATTTAAGCTAAAAATATTTATACCATTTCCGAGAAAATCATAGAAATAGCCGTTTTTGACATGAAGCGCCTCCTACCGAACCGTAAAAGAATTAATATAGTGATATTAACGTGCCAATCGAAGCTCCCATAAATACCCTTTAAAACTAAAGATCGTCGAAATCTAGCCAAAGAAAAAGTTATTCAACTTTTTTCTAAACCAATATTTGACCCTTGCCCCTCCCTTCATTTGACGAGATACAAAAAAATAGTATTTTTAAATGTATTAAAATTATTAATATTTATTACTATTATTGTTTTTTTTACTCTTTTAACATAGCTAATAATATTTATACCATTATATTTGAATATTTCGAGAGAATCATAAAAATAGCTGTTTTTGACATGAAGCGCCTATTACCTAAAACCGATAGTGATATTGACAAGCCTATAGAAGCTTTAAAACTAAACTAAGTCCGTCGGAAATCGCATTGGCCAAAAAAAAGTTATTCAACTTTTTCTAAACCAATATTAGACCCTTTCTTCTCCCTTAATTTGACGTGATAAAAAAATTAGTTCTAACCAAAAAGCGTCTTTATCTAGAACATATTACGTTAAAACTAATTTTGGCATAGGTTAATTTGGAATATTTTTGAGAAAACCCGTTTTTTACAGTTGAGGTTGCTCCCCCTAGCGGCCATTTTATGAACGTGAAAATAATTTCTAGTTAACAAAAACGATTTCACGTTCTTTGGTGGAATAAAAAACCGTTTTTTTTTTTGCTTTCAACCAGATGAAACCTCACTCACATGTTTATATGGATATTGAAATATATATGGATATATTAAATTATTATCCATATCCATGTTTGAAATATGGAAGGGTTTTAAAGCAGCAGCTGACGGCTTCCTCGGAAATTACAGGACTGACAATTATAAACAATTGATTGAAAACATGCTTCAAAGCTTTAAAACTATGGACTGCAGAATATATTGGTGAATACTCCGAAGAACAAGAAAAACGTTTTCACCAAGGTGTGATGGACTAATATTTAAAAAAAACGTTTCTCACCATAACTTCAATCGAAACTCTAAGTAAAAATCGTAAAATTTGGTGATTTTTGCAGAAAATATGCAAAATTGCTGTAGTTTCTAGAAGAACACACTTTAATTTAAAAAAAATCCTTGTTTTTACTGGGATATACGGCGTTATAACTTTTTCAGCTTGATCTTTACTTGATTTCCACTTTTTTCCCAAACTTTTGTTTTAATGTAAATAAAAATTGCTCACAACTGTACTAATGAGAACAAATATATTTTCTAATCACGAAATTGTATTGCATTATTCAGTACAACATTGCCATAAACTTCTACGTTTTCCTTTTCAAGCACCGACAATGGCTATTCAGCTAAAAAATTACGATGGCACATTTTCGTAAATACTGTTTGTTTTAATTTGTCCGTTTTTAAATATCAAATACCTGTTATTATGAATGTGCAATGTACTAAATCTAAAAGAAGATCTAAAAATAGGCTTCTTATTTTAATCTAAATTTGTTAAAACGAGGTGAACGTTTTAAGCTACTTGTCGGGGACTTGGCGCCCTCTACATTTGAGTATAGGTAACTCGGCTCTGCCTGTGAAAGTAATTGTCTCACATAGCCGCCAGGGGGCGCTGTGAGCAATTACTCAGCTGGTATCAATGATAAAACGTAATTTGATGGGTGACGGTTTCTTTTTCGATTTTTTAGGGCATGTCGGACGAAATGAAAGAACTGGTTCAGATGTTACACGACACGTGCGTGGAAGAAACGGGGGTCGACGAAAGTAAGTTCATTTATCGTATTTGTGGTCTGTGCTTTATCCACTGCACTGTGTAAAGCAACCATAATAACTAACCACTTTACCGCTATAGTTAAGAATAATATTAATGACCTTTTAAAAATTTAATAAAGTACCCCCAAAAAAAAGCATCTTAAACACGACAGCTTCACAAAAAGGCGAGAAAATGGCGGTCTCTTCTTTCCTTTGGCTAGGTTCTCATCGAACACATTGATTTGTCATTTGTTACACGGAATGTTAAAATGTTAATATTCTGTAACTTAATTATTCTTTATAACGATTCCCCCAAGAATGGACTTAAGGACGACATAAGAAACTGCCGCCTTGTAAGCAAAGATTTTCGAAAAAATATTTTATTTTGATTTCTTTAACATTATAAATAATTAATAAATAAAAATAATTTCTTACTTAATTGTAAGTGCCACCGACTAATGTTAATGCCAAGTTTTCTGTTTAAAATGGACCCATAAATCGTCCCTTTAATTATTGACATTAACTTTGCTATTTGTGGAATATAAATAAAAATTGAAACCAAAACGGAAAAGTTTAAAATCATTAAAATAAATATTTATTATATTTATTCTTGTTTTGAAGTTTCTGGGCTGTTCCGCCAGTGTGTTTTTGGGTGTGCCGCAAGGTCTCCCTGCGGGGCCCGTACTGACGGTCTCGATTTCTTTACAGGCTTGATCGCAAAAGTCAACGCGGAAAAAGTGTTCGCGGATGACGAAAAGCTGAAATGCTACATTAAGTGTCTCCTATCACAAATGGCTTGCGTAAGTAGTCGTTGGTGTGGAAACACAACCGTTATACAAGGTGGAGCCAAACTTTAATGGCTGTGTGTAAGATTTTTCAGCGTAAATTAATCGTTTTTTATTTTATTTATTTACACTTTTGTACGAAAGTAAGACGTATGCTCCATATTAGCTTAGATTTGACCGAGGTTGAGCTTAGGTTTCTCCATTGTGTTCTGTCAAAATTATGACATATTTCGTTTATTTTTTATCGACAGACGTCAAGTACTTTAAACAACAACATTATCCGTTATAATATTTGAAACGTGGAAGTACGAATACGAAGTTCGTAAACTCTGAGGTGTATTTTTGAAATTTTTATAATTATTTCTTAGCATTGTAGAAGGCAGAATTTTTAATTCTGTTTGACAATTGTTTGACATTAATTTGGTGTTTAATATATCAGAGCATTTTTATTTTAAAAAAGAATTTTCTAGTTTATGAATGAGAAGTTGGCAGATATGTGGAAAATTTCGCACGATTTTCTATTGTACCGATGTCATATTCAACAAGTCCAAAAAAAATTCCGTTACGTGTTAATTTTTGTCATTGGGTTTTGGACAAAATTATGACCAAGAAATACTATTTACAGATGAACCTAATTTTTCCAATCAGAAATTTCTATAATAACCATCTTTGGGTCGATGAAAACTCTCATTCGGTTGTAGAATTTAAACACCAAGAACAGTTTTGTATTTTTTAAAAAATGTGGTACACTTATTATATACTTATTACATGTACGGCAAATTTCGATAAATTATCTAAATTGATATTACAGATATTAAAAAAAATATATTTTATTTTTGAAAATGGACCCAAAAACCGCCCTCTTAATTATTGACATTTAATTAGCAAACACTCTGTATAAAATACAATAAAATTCTCCACATTGGCATTAGGGTATCGATTTTAGGTCGATATCGACGAAACGTCGGAGACCGCCCCTGTCGGGCGTTTCGCCGATTAACTAGAAACCGATCGAAAACAACCTACATTGTATAATTATTAGGTCAATGTTCGGCGTTTCAAAACACCGTAAAAAGTTTAATTCATACACCGAGAAGTGTCGACGCAATATTTACATCTCAACAAAACAATAATTGCCTCGAAATAACAATATGCGTAAATAATAAGGAAAAAAGAATCACGCGATGTAATAATGACAAAGAGCCGACAGATTTCGTCTGTCACATTAGTTTTTGAGGTTATATTTATTATTGTATACTTTTTACTTGCGCATATTTTAGATTATTACTGTTATATTACTTCTCACTTAAAAATTTTCTTTTATTCTAAGCTAGTAGGGTCGGTAAAGGACCATTACAGGTATATATTGAGCTAGGTCCATAAATAATGCAAATTTACATAAGTCAGCACGTAGCAAAACAATTATTATGAAATGATAAAATAAAATGATCGAGCTTTTGCATAAAATTTGGCAAATCGGATTTTCTTGACACCCGAAAATCCATTATAATTTTTTTCATTTTCATTTTTCACGAAATCCAGTCAAAGCTAGCTTTTCCGGAAACTATCCGTCTGCCCAAACGCCCACTTTGATAACATCGACTTCAACGGTGAATTTTTAAAGAGAAACTAGAGAAAATAAGAGAAACTTCACGTTTTCTTGTCAATTTCGATTAAATTTCAATAAAAATGAGCTTTTCAATCAATTTTTTTAATGAGACCTTCAGAGAGCTAACAACATGTCTGGTTGGAACACTGATTTCAAGTAATATTTTTGATAGAAAAAATAAACACAAAATTAGCGAAACTGAACTTTTTTTTTTGTAGATATCGTTCAAATTCGACTTCACTTCAACTTCACATTTTGGCTTGAACGCCGCATTTTGGACGAAGAATTCACAAAAAATGATTTACAGTTAAAACGCAATTTTTTTTCATAGCTTGCAATAACGATTCTCTGAAGATTGCAATTGTCTACCTAAAACCTCATTTTTTTGGGTTGAACACTAGTTCCAAGGAAGAATTTTTCACAAAATCCAGTCAAAACTTGTATTTCTGGAAATACCCATCCACCAAAAAGTTCACTTTCACAAGGTCAGCATGGACTGGATTTTTAAGGAGAATTGCCATTAAATTTAATGAAAAATGAACTTTTCAACCAATTTTTGTAATGATCACTGCTTTAAAGAGTTAGATAACCTCACTTTCTGGCTAGAACATGGATTTCAAGTAACACACGATAGAGAAAAATGCTCACACTTTTTCTAATATATATCGCACAAATTCCGTCAAAACCAACGCTTCCTCCATTTCCTATAATTAAAACTATCTGAGACGGGCAGTTTTCAACTGAAAGCTTCACTTTCTGGCTTGAACGCCCTGCTAAATGAAGGATATCTTAAGAATACTTCACTCTAATATACCTGGTGAAAACCAGACCCAACTGCTCGTGTTTCGCAGATCGATGACGATGACGGTACCATCGACGAAGAAGCGACCATCGCCATCTTGCCGGAGGACATCCAGGAGATCATGGGGCCGGTGATCCGGAAATGCGGAACAGTAGGTAATCGAACGCGATTCGACTACGACCAAATTCGTTGCCAAATTTTGTATGTCTTCTTTTTTAAGTCGGAGCTAACATCTGCGAGAACGCCTGGCTGACCCATAAGTGCTACTCCGAGATGAAACCAGACGTAAAACAACGGCTGCCATTTGCAATAGACCTTCGGTTATCTCTGGTGTTTTTTCTAGGTCTATATGCTCATCTAGATCGGCGCTACTGGGACTGGCGTCGTCTTACTTTTCCAAATGTACACTTTGGTTGAATAAAATTCCAGAAAAACGGCGTATACTTTATTTTTCCTGCAGCTACAAGAGAGAATCTAGTATCGATGTTATGTTTCTGCAGCATTTTCGAAATTTTGAGGTTTTGATCAGCTTGGCAGGGAATCAGTATCAGTATCTATACCTTTTCGATAAAATCGGGTCTGGATTCGATATCCATGCCCTAAAAAATATTCTAGAAAAATAATAGCTTCTGTGCACATTGGTTCCTCACTTTTTCTTCTCTCTCTTATTCTCGTCCTTTCTTCGCAGGTGACCAAACCACATTAAGCAGAGAGCTTCCTTTTCCATATATTCATTGGTTCCAAAAATTATGAGAAAATGGAGGATAACAAAGTTGTTGAACTTGTTAGGTTGAACAGCTTAAAATTATTTCAAAGTATACAGGGTGGCTCAAAGAAGCGGGACGAATAAAACTTTTTTTTTAATTTACAAATTTGGTTGATAACTGCCGGTTTCGGATTGTTTTCATTACAAAAAATGGTGGTTCCAATTCGTTTGTATATATTTTTGTCAACTATCGTTGTAAATGGTGTTTAACTCAGAAATTGAGGTATTAGGTTGGCAACTCAGTAGAATTTCACCGGTATCGATTAAAAAATGAAAATCTTCTTTTATAGCCACCGTTCAGTTCAAAAAGTGAGGTTTCTCGATAGTTTTCATTTCAAGAAATAATAGGAATGCTGGTTTTGGGCTGAAGTTTGTCCAAAAACAAAAAATCTTTTTTTGGAGATAGTCTTCATCCCAAAAAGTGACGTAGCGACGTTCAATCTAGAAAATGATGTTTTCGATATTTTTCATTTTAGGAAATGATAGGAATGCTGGTTTTGGGCTAAAGTTTGTCCAAAATAAGGAGAGCTGTTCTTTGTATAGTTAAAAATCCTATTTTGGGGATATTGTTTGTTAATAACGGGGTTGAACCCAGAAAGTAAGGTATTTGGTCGACACCTGATATTGATTATAAAACGCACAGTTCCACTTATTTTGTACATTTTTCTTCAAAAATAAGTCTTAGAAAAGTGAAGTCTTTGGTTTGAGGTAGTTTTCAATATAAGAGTTGGTAGAAGAGCTCATTTTGCCTGCGATTTTATCAAAATTTCACTTATTTTTCTTGTTTTTTCGTAAAAATTTGAAACCAAAAGGACTTATAGCTGCAGAATAGAATAACATTTTTAACAATTTACAAGCAAGGCCTGTACAATATTCTGCTCAATAAAGCCGCCATATTTACAAATACCGAGTTTTAAAAACATCCGAACGTCTTAGAGTCGTGACGTACGTGGAAAAACGTCCGCGAAAAATACTGCTTCATTGTTTACCGAGCCTTATTCAAAATTATAAACTACTCGCCGTCCGTATTAACACTTCCGTGCGAAATTGATGTTCTCGGTAGCTGCGGATTGGAATAGGAGAGAAAAAAAACATCAAATGGTTTTTTTTCTCAGGACGGCACACACACACACACACACACGCACAGTTGTCAATCAAAAATCGGCCAAACATCACGTAGATTTGGGAACAGAGGTGTTGTTAATCGATTGATAATAATATTTGGAATATTCGCCCAGTCGAGTGTCTACGACCCCACGGACCACGAAAGGTGAGTGGAAAATTAAAATTTTTGGCGAAAATAAGCCTTTTTTTCCGTCGCCTTTGGCGTAAAGAAAACAGTTTTGCCGGGAAATTCACTTCGCGTCAGCTTTTACGAAGAAAATTTGATGAATCTGAAATCAAAGTTTTACTCGATCAAAATCCGCTTGATAGTTTACTGTTGTCTGGATTTGTTTTTTATTTATAATTTTATCGGTAATGGACGGATTGTAGCCGTTGTTCAGTGCAATTTGTTTAATGATTTTAAGTTCTTAGTTGTAAATTTCTGTTGAGAGTGGCGTGTTAAGAAGTCTGTGTATGAAAGAGTGAAATGCAGCCATTTTGTGTGTATAAGGGTGATTTGAGCTGTTATGTATGACTGTGTCCGTGTATGAAGATTTATGATATATTGAAAAATGTAATTCTCACAATAACATTAACGTTTTATGGACATTTTTCGGTATATATAGTAGCAGGTAGTTTGTAAATATTACATTTGATAAAGACACGGTATTGTCGAAACAATTGGCATATAAAAATAAATACTTTCGTGAAAATCGGAACTTTTAGTTCTTATTTATTTTGAAAAATGGATTTTCATCAAGTAAAAGCCACCTCAGTTCAATTTTAGAAAATTTCATACGAACATATGTCCTAACTTTTGAGATACGGCGCGCTAAAGTTTTCAAAAATAAATTATATTTTTTTAGTATCTGTATTATCATTTTAGATGTTTTAATGAAATGTGGCTCACATTATAATTTGACACCCAATTACAAGGTTAATTTTGAAAGATAGAAAAATAAGTGTAAATACAAAGTTTGCCAAATTCACAGCAACATCTTTTTTTTTTTAATGTAGTAACCTATATATTGTTGCTCCAATCGTAGATCTTTGTTTCCTAATTTCAAAAACATACAGTTTATTGACATTTCATATAGCTGTTTTTGAGATATTTCATTTTAAAAATAATTATCATTCGATTTCTCGGCAATAGCCATGTTGTTTAAGTTAAATAACTTGAGATATTACAAATGGGTTTTACTGAGGAAAAAAAACGCCGAAAAATAAAATGCAAAGTTTACTCTTTCTATTAAATACACCTGCTGTTGTGAACAAAGCCTCATCCTTAGACATTATTTGGTTTAGGAAATTTCCATCTTCTGCCACTGCGTTTTATGTTTATCGGAAGGAACTTATAACATAAAATATAAAAATTAAGAAGGTGAAACTTAAAGTCAAAATTTACTTTGAGACTAATGTAATATATTGAGGTTTTTATCAAAATTTCTTTCTATTGTCCTGGTCTTCCGTGTGACACTGTTTCGGTCCTCAAATTGTTTACATTTTTAATTGTATTTATTGAAGAAACTCTTCTACCCGGATATATTTGTCGATCTTCTCTTTTAACCCTTGCGACATTACTCTGAAATTCATTAGTTTTGATTAGTTGTCAAAAGTAGAGTTGTAAAACAATTGCGAACGTAGATAATATGGCTGGTGTCAAGGCAGACTTGACCATTTTTAAACGATATGGCTATTGTTCAGAAATCGAATGATAATTATTTTTAAACTGAAATCAGGAAAAAACGATCTACAATTTAAGCTAATAATATATAGGGCAGTCCAATTAAAAAAAAAGATGTTGCTGTCATTTTGACAGCTTGCGATCGTCGTTTGTTTTTTCTCACATTTGCATAAGATAATAGAGCAAAAATCTTCAAACTTTAGTATTTACACTTTTTTTCTATCTTTCAAAATTATCCCTGTAGGTGGATGTCAAAATAAAATGAATAACCCATAACACCAGTGGCGTTCGTAAGGAATTTTACCTGTTTATTTCGGCCGATATGGATGGTACGCGACTGATTTCTCTTCAAATACAAATTATTCATATTCACTTCTTGATTTTTTTTCAATGCGATTTACAGTTTTTGGTTCTCTGCATTGTTATAACAATATCCTTAACATGACAGCATGCAGATAAATTAGTGAAAACTGTGCGCTGGACCAAAAAAGGATTAAGAAATCAAATCTGCTCATAATTGAAAACAAATGTTATTATTTTTAAAGGAAATCAGTGGCGTGCCACTGCCTGCCTACAAACAAATAAGATTCTATTGGTTGAGAATTTTTTTTGTGAAAAATAAAATAAAATCTATATAAAAGAAAAGACACGGGATTTTTGAGTTTTTCGTGATTTAGTTTTATTGTTTTTTTATAAATTAACCTATTCTCAAAAGCAATCTTAAGAGCAAGATGTTTCGAAATTTTCTTGGTAGGTTCTCCTATTTATTTTACTGTTTTATTTTGCTTTCTATGTCTAACATGGGATAGATCGAGTTCAGAGATATTGGAAACTGTTTTTTAGGTATGATCTTACGTATCACACAATTACTAAAAGTCGTTCGTTTTATATTTAATTCTTTTTCAAAATTTTCTGTGGAAAGAGTAATATTAAGTAGTCTGTAGATAAAAAAAAGTAAAAGGCAGCCATTTTGGTCGTGTGAAGGTGAATTGCGTTATTATGTATTATAATGTTGGTTTGTGAGAGATTATGGTAAATGGAAAAATCTAATTTAGTTATAGTTAAGTCCAGAAAGTTTATACGGTTATATATGAATCAAAAAGGACTGAAGTTTTTTCGTTTCATCTACATATCTGTACAACCAAAGAAATCTTTTACTTAAAGGATGTTTATTTATGATATTTTCTAAATTGCAATTGGGCATTAAATTGAAAATAATTTTGGTCCGAACGAACTATGTGATTGAGTTGTCTGTGACAAAGAATATTGTCTATTATGTTCGGTGGAATGCTAGGAAATAGATTTTGGACCTCAAAGGAAACTACGAACGTATTTTTGATAACGTATCTAGGTTTACAGATTATGACCCTGTCTTCTATATACATATACCGATCTGTCCTCGCAATCTAATAAGATTAAAATAAAAGTTTATAATGTCCTCCAGTCAAATCTACCTACCTTTTAAGCAATTTAAAATTAAAATGGAAGACTTTTTTACTCAGAATGAATGTATTTTATCACGCTAGTTTTTTATTATTTTGGAAGTAGCATTTGTTGTTATCTGAATGGTTAATAAAGTTATATTCTGTTCTATTCTAAAGGCAATATAATATTCCACAATTTTAACCGTTGGTTCTGCTACAAATGAAACCGAAGGCCTAATTACCGTATGCTGTTTGTTTAATTAAATGAAATAATATAATTTTGGCGGTTGGGGATTTATAATTATTAGTTGGCATTTTCCCTGTCATTAAAAAGTAATGAATCTTTAATTACAATTTTGATTAATTTAATTGGATTTGAAGTTATTCTGGTTACTTCCCGAGATACGACCCAAGATCTTTGAAAAAATCGAAAAGGATTTTTGACCTGGCCATAGGATGAAGCCTGAAAACTTCCACGGGACACACTTTAACATCGCAATAGGGTTATTAGTCAGACTTTGGGCGCTTATCAGCTTCTCTCGTAGGAGCAACAACGAAAAAAAAAACAACGGAATAAACCACTACTACCGCGGTTGACACATAAATAATAAATATTTGGCATCTCTCGGAGATAGCTTTTATCGTCCAAAACAAGACGACAAGGGTTTTAGTTGCTGACGCGTAGCTCAGTACCGCGGTTCGCAGTGTGCCGCAAGGTTCGTAACGCAGCCGAAAGTTTCGCGTTTGGTCGTCCCCGTATATTTATATATGGAAACCGATAGATTGTTGAGAAATGGATTCTCCGCCGCCAAGTACACGGTAGGTCGTTTTCGATGTACAGGGTGTGAAAGTATACGATACACATACACATTTTTCAGCTCGCCCTGTATAATGAAAAAAAATATATTCACGGAAAATGTCGAAATACAGGGTTCTCTTAAAATTCCTGTAAAATTAGAATAGAATAGATTCGATTTCATCTTATTGGTTTCGAAAGTTATGAGACCATGGTAAATACAGGGTGTTTAAAATGTTTGGATTCATATAAATTGTGTTTTATAATTGAATGTCAATAATTGAGAGAGAGAGAGAATTTTTGGCATTATTTTGTGTGCGGAACTTTCCCAAGATCGATGTAATTTTATTGTGCATGTACCCCGTATAGTGTCTTTCAAGTCTCGCCGAACTTTCGAATCACGGCAAACTGCGGTAAATATAAAAATTTGTACTAGTAATACTGATTTGCAATGATATTTTGTCAAATATCTCGCACACCCTGTATGATTGATGAAAAACTGTAACTTGTAACTTTCGCCGTTTTTCTTAATTTTTCAAAAGGGTAAATTGTACACCTAATAGAAAATGACGTCATCGCGTCTATATTGAGTGCGAGATATGTCGAGACTGATGTGTAAATACAGAAATTGTAACCATTGATGCTGCCTATAATACGGTTTGAACCAATTACCCCTATTTTTTTACGAATTTTGCTTTACAGCTAACAATTTACTGTGGAAAAGAACAATTTTCAGTCAAACACCTTGTATATAATCGAAAAAATGTTCCCAAATTTTGAAGATCTGGTTATTGCTTTTCGAGAAAACAACAAAAAAAAAACATTTTTTTAAAACTTTGCTAAGATTTAATTAAGCCCAATTTCTTCTGTTTAAATGTGGGTAAGGACTTTTACTTCTCCGCCAAATAGTTTCAAATTTAGGACACTTAATTCATTTCTTAATATAGAACAGAATATTCGGAACACCCTGTACAATAAATGAAAACCTTAAATACAAATGTGCGATCTATATAAATCAAATTGACTGATGAACCACAGCTAAACTAACCCGATTTTCAGTTTTTTGCGAAATCCGGAATACCCTGCATACTTTTGAAAATTACCGACAATAAAGATTTGTAGCACTAGCACTTTTCTAATAGCTTTTGCCATCGCATAAATGGTTTTCGAAAAATGATTTTCCTTGGAAACGATTTTTTTTTAATACTTCCCGACACCCCAGCCTCGCCAAGTTTCATTGATTTTATCGGGGAACCGAACGC